GAGGCGGCATGAGGCATACATGCACCAGTCGTGAGGTGTGCTGCGCCTGTCAATTGTATCCAGGGGTGAGCTTGCCCCTGGAGATCAGGTACAAAGCCTTTCTAGGCCAGGGGAGGCATCACAGCGGTCCAGACTGCTGTTGTTCTAAGTTCTGGTGGCGTGCCGCTGCGTCGGGAGTCTGGCAGAGCGGGGGCTCTTGTAGATGTTGCAGATGACTGTAACACATATATGCTCTTTGATTCTGAGTTTACAGCCCAAAATGAAATGAAAACATGGTGATGACTCAAGTGGGGACAGTGATGTAAGTCAGGGCACCAATAGTGAGAGTGATAGCAACACCAGGAAGAAAAAAAAGAAGAAGAAGGTACGAGAAGTTATATACTACTCATTTGCTATCTCATTTGTCATGACTGACTCAGACCTTGCTGGACATCCCTCTCGTTCACATAGAAGAAGGACCCTAGCGAACTCCCACTCAACATCAAGCTTTCAGCACAAATAAAGCTCTTGCAAAATCAATACACATGCAACAAACCTGGCTGCCTCAGTTCTGGCTATTGCTACATCCTACCTGACAATAGTGCCCATTTCACACACTCTCATCAGCATATATAAGTATGGGCAGCTGCACTGGCCGCTAAACCTCCAATTACAATAATCGAAACACCACCCAACCACAAAGAATTTGATGGATTATCATCAAATCTCCTGTCTGACACTGCTCCATTGATCCAGCGCTGACTCGCTGAGCGAAACGGCACACAATCTGCCCCATCTGCATCAAATACTGGGCCAACAATCAATTTCAATGTTCCAAACGACTTCTTTAGCTTTCTACGACCTGCTGCAGCATCCAGCCCTCTGTTACTCACTGCTCCCATAGACCATATTGCCAACACACACACCACTGACATCCCACTCCTTTCTGTCTCTGCAAGTTTTTGAGGGAAACACCAATATGCTCCAGCTTGTGATGAATTGTGGTGTAGTGTACAGATATGAAATGATTGGTATCGAGTAACTCGAGCAGTTCATCCAAGAACCATCCAGGACGGTGATGGATAAGACGGATGAGATAAAGGACATTGTCGCAGTGGAGAACACGAGGGTGCCCATGAAGGCTACAGGTGGGGCTAAGGATGTCGCCTGTCTCACGCCAAAGTTTAAGGACATGCCAGAAAGTACTTTCTGAGAGTCCGACACATGCCAGAAAGTACTTTCTGAGAGTCCGACACATGTAATAATATCGTGGAGAGAGAGATGTCGATGCTCGTAGAGATTGACGGCAGCAAGTTTGATGTCGCGGCTTATTTTTCAATACATCAATGGTGATTGTTGCAGTGTGAGATGAAATACTAGGTTAGATTATTTATTTCTTCTTCTTTCTCAAAAAGGTGCATACTGTCATCATTTATGCAAACGGCTGTAAAAAACATAGTACATTTGAAAAACACAGAGAAGAAAATTAACATTATTGTAAGCTGCTATTTAAATGACAATAGATGGAAAATACAGCATTATCCTTGAAAGAACATATAATCTCCAGCTGTAAATAAGCCCTTGGACGATGGCCTTATATTTACTACCATTGACAATTTGAACTTCAAGTTTGCTGATTGATGAACCACTGATGGTCATATATCTTTGACAATGAAAGTTACTTGTGAGTTTATTGGTAGTATTTAAACTGCCAATTGTTGAATTGTTGAATTGTTGAATTCTGATTGATGCATATTATGTGCCATTGTAAACATTGTTTCATAGGATAGGGTCTTTAAGCTTCAAACTTTATGTATGCCTCAGGCTTAATAGGCAGTATTAGTAAACAGCATTCATCAAGTTATCTAAATCTGAATTGATTGGACTGATCAGGTTCTATCAAATTTTCACAACCAAAGCTTGATATTATGTGTTGCAGTATTAAGAGTCTACAAGACAAATTACACAATCCTCCCAATAAGCAACCCCTTTTCACATGTACAAGGCAACTAATACATATACAGAAAGGGTTAGCACTAGGCCAACTTCTTTGCATCCTGAATGTACTCTAAAGATTAGTTACCTTGATTAAACTTATACAATGTATTTGTATATAAAGCCTAAAGGCATTCTCTGTGGCTATCCCTTCCTTAATAGTACTTTAGTCCTCTTAGCTAGTAGACTATTGTGATAAACCTTGGATGCCCTATTTTCATTGCCAAAGAATCATCTTTTATATTACAGAAAACTATACAACTGACTGGTATAGAGAATGGAGCTGGATAGGAGCAACCATTAGCTATCAAAGGGTGCTTTTGAAAAGTAGGATAATCTATTAGAGACTTTGGATGGAAGACCTCAGCACTGCTGCCTTTCATATTTGATGAGAAGACTAAGTCTATCGCTTCTGCAGCGATGTCTCTAGTGACAGTCTTTCAGAGTGTGAAAAAAAAAATCAATAGTTTTTTTTGATGACACAGCTACCCTAGCATAGACTTGGCCTATATCCCTCTGAGTATCATCATTTATCATGTCCAAGTATACAAGCAAACAGCCTACAGAGGATGATGACTTTGTCTCTTTGAAAAATGGCAAGTGTGCCAGCAAGGATAAATTATCTTGCAAGGGATGTTGTTGTTACCATTCTCTGCAAACCATTATTTCACATTAATTTCAGGATGACCAGGATTATAAATTCACTCTGGCATACTATACAAACCCTGGTTCAGATATTAGTGAATCTGCACATAAGTTATGAAAAATAATCAAACACTTGCTGGAGAACATTAAATACTTGGAAGAGGATAGGGCTGGGAATGTAGAAGGAAGGATATGAGTTGAATGAGAAGAGCTGGAGCTGGATGCTAAATGGTATAGCAAAATTATTAATAGAATGGAATTAGAGTTGCTATGGAAGCAGGCTGAAAATGACAAACTGATGGAGAATATGGAATGACTTCAGGTGAAAACAGACAGTCCGAGAAAGAAAATTGAATTCATGCTAAATTTTAATTTCTTGGTGTCAGTTAGCACAAGGATAAGTGGGAATGTTATAGAGCATTTTTGTATAACCAGATTTAAATGTAAAAACAGCATCTTCCATACTTATGGTAGGCTAGGTGGTGAGTAGTCAGCTAACTCATAAAGATATGTTATTATTTCAATTGGCCTTGCTGAATAGAGTTTAGTAGTTACAGCCTGGGTTAGACTTTGGAAAATACTATTAATGATAATCAATATATAACAATATTAAGCCATAGTGGGTATATATGGAGGATAGATCTATCAGTAGGACTCAAGGATAAGGAAGCCAAATTAGTGAGTGCATGGGGAAGTCCCAAAGGAATGTGCTCAATCACAAATGTGGCAGTGACTCCTTCAGCCACAGTCTATTCATCAGTCCTGACAATCATAGAAGCATAAAAAGCATCTAGAGGAGTTAGGGGAAGATATTGATATCAAGTAGTGGTCGAGTAGCTTGGTGATGAGCATTTGTGGAAGTTTCTTGAACATGGTATAACAGCATACAATAAGTATGTATAAGGGCAGTAAACTTCAACTTAAGGATGACCAAAAAATATGCTTACTGACTAGTAGTCGAGGTCTTGGTCCTTGATTTAATCTAAGCACCTATGTTTTAGCAGGAGAGAAATATGAAAACACCCTAACTAAGGAAAAATATTAAAGAAATATTCAAACTATTAATGAATATAAGCATTGGCCCTGTAATAAAGCATATTATCTTAATCAAAAGCCTGTCTCAAGAAATTTTAATAGGGTTGTTGTATTGATAAGTAAGAGCCAGATAGAGGTGATATGTAAATATTTCATTAATTCATGGTAAAATTGAGGGCTGCTTAAAAGCATAAATAAGCATAATGGTCCAGAACACCATGACAGAAGGAATTGTAGTCAAACATGGGGCTAAAAATAAAAGTATTATTGTTCTCCAACTTTCATTTTTAATAAATTATGAATCATCCACATTTACCATCGCAAAAATGGCCATATAACCAGATAGATATAAAGCTGACCAAGTTTACTTGTCCTACGTCTCATACCCTAGCTTGTTTAAAACAAGTTGCCTACCATCTAAGAAAGCATTTCAGCTCTCAATCACACAACCCTCATCTTATTCACATACTTTCTTAAGATCAGCCAGGATGCCAGCTAATTGCCAATAAAGAAGGAAACCAACTACATATGATGTGTCCTTTCCGGACAAAATATCCACTGTTGATAGCAATAGTACTATGAAAGTTGCTGACCATGGGAAGCCTTATCTGTCACTGTCTGATGGATTAGTACCAAAATATAAATACTTTCCTATCAAACAGCTGGGTGGTGGACAGAAAGACCCCACATATTTATTAGAAGACTTTGTATTTTTAACAGCTGGCAAGACATGGTTCCTCTTCCAGAACTAGATAGGCATTTTGAACTCAGGTCTTACAATATCTATGGAGCTGGTGTGGCTTATGTTGAAGGACATGAGATTAGTTTATATCTAAGCTAATATAGTTGTGCAAGCTTATTAGTTGATCTGTTTGTCCACCAAGTAATAGGTAGGAGGCAAGAATATAGAAAAATGTACTAGTGTAGAAACTGATTCCTGGCTAGGCTTGTAGAGACTGTTCTTACCTTAGTGTTATATTGGCACTTTTGTAGCTTATATAATAAAGTTATCTTTCACCAGTTACCAGTATGAGTCTGAGTCTTCAGCAAGTTTTTATCATATTTTCTCTCCTCTGAGCCTTGAGCCTGGTCCAGAAACCCTTTAGGGTCGAATAGCAGCTAGGTTCTGCAAGACCCAACATATTGTTCTGAATCACCAGAATTGTTGTATCCACACTAGGTTGTGAGATATTCACTGTCTTGTTTTCTGACCGATAATGTAGAAATTAATGTATTCATGTTGCCTACTAAGGTGTGACTTGTGTGGTGTTTTTATTCTAAAAAAATGTTCAGATACTGGAGTTCTCAAGTATGTCAATGCTCTGTCTCATTGCTTAAAGGCACTTCTACTTCGACATCTGCTTTTTGATTCCAAGTTCTATGAGCTGTTTAATCATTTTTTCTGGCTCTCCATTTCTGCCTGAAGTTGGTTAATAACTATGTTTAGCCTATCACAGGTAGCATACTGGTACACCAATTCTAATTACACCTCATCAAAAGTTTGATATACCATTCAGTGTCCAGCTTCTTTTCAGCCTCTATCTCCTGTTTAATCCTGGCCTTTCCCTCTCTATCTCTCACTCTAGCCTCATTCAGATGTTTAACCTGCTTCTGTAAGCACTCAATTATCTTCTGCAACTCATATATGGACTCACTTATACATATCAATATCTGAGCTGTGACTTGTGTAGTGCTTTGGAATGGGTTTGTAGTCCTACTCATTCTGAAATAATATAAAATGATGATGTACAGAGAATGTTAATAGTAATGTGCTTTGCATGATATTGCATTCTCCCTGACATGCTGCTTGGTGTGCTTGCTATTCTTCAAAGAGGTGAAGTCATTCCCTCACATACTATAGGAATTTTTTTTTTCTGATATATGGGCCACCTGAAGTTAATAATCTGCCTAGTGAGACGGGTCACCTGAGGTGGGCCCAAATGGAGGTGTACCAATAGAGAGGGGTGGGCCTAAGATATGGTCTAGTGGTCCATAATTTAGGGTAGGCACAGTATATGATATAAGTGTACCCATATTGATGGCAGGGCTGATATGAGTAGGCGAGATATAGGGATAGGTCTAGGTGCCTGTACTGCCAAAATGAATAGTAGGGCTCATATCAATAGGTGACATATAGGGATGGGCTGATGTATCATGGACTCATCTTTGCTATCAACATCTACTAGAAGCACATAGGTCAGAAGTAAATCATCTACTGAGATTGGTGGACCTTTCTTACCAAAACATTTTGTCACATATCTCCACCAAACATATTGTTATAGTTGTGGTTTTTGGGACATAAGACATATCTTGTTCAGGCAATGAGAACCAACTCACTTAGTTACCAATAGCATGCCCTTTTCTGTCTTTCTTGCAGCCAACACAAACACTCTCATTCCAGCCCATTTGTACATCTTGTTAGTGAAGTGGTAGACCATGCTCTTACTTTTCTTTTTGGCAATGTCTATCTGCACCTCAGGAGGAACACCCTGACTGTTCCACTCTTCTGCTGTTTTGATGGCCTCCTGAATCTCTTCCTCTGTCAAAGACTCTATCAATGCACTCAAATACTTCAAATAATACTGGATTATTTCCATCAATCACTGTTTTACCCCAGGTTTGTAGTCTTGCTTCCTGCTGCTGCAATTGCAAAATCAATTTTGGTACACCTAAAAGATGAGTCGGAAGGGAGTTCATTGTGAGCTGCTCTATACTCACCTTCTTTCATTTCTCAAGCAGCTGTTTGTCCTTTGTTAGAGGCTCAAGTTGAGCTCCTAGTGTTGCATCCTTCCATACCTGATTCCAGTCCTCACCTACACTCCCATTATTTGATGTAGGACTACAAGACTGCAAGCTCCTGTGGAGTTAATGGCGGCTACGTATTTACATCCTTGGCTGAATTAGAGTTGCTGTCTGGCATATATGTATTGATAGAATAAAAGATGTGGGCATGAAAGGGTGGAGAAGGAATGATGTGAGAGATGAAAGTGTTGTATCAAGTCTAATGAAGGTGGGTTCAGTGAATGATGGAAATTACAATGTGACACTGGACGCATCAGTATTTTTGGTTAATGCTTTGGTGATAGTATTATGTAACAGACTACTAGATCATATCATTATCACTTGTGCAAGCATGGTGGTAAGGCTAATGCTTCTCACTTGCAATTGCAGACTAACTAGAAGAGGATAAGAGATAGATAATCAAAAAGGTATTTTACAACAAGTCTAGTCATTGTTAAGAACGTGCTCAAGGGTCGGATCTGAAGGGCTTGGCTTCAGCTTGTGCACTGCACCCCTTACCTGAGTACGTGCCCCTAACTTCCGAGGGCTGTTGGACAATGTCCGGAGGTTGTCGGACGAGTCCAGAGTCCGATGTCTGATGCGTGGGAATTCCGGCGGACGTTCGGGAATGAAGGATAAGACTAATCTGGACGATGTCTGAACTAGAAGGAAACAGCGGAGGACTACCAGAGGTAGAGGCGGAGGTGAGAAGTCTATAGGAATCGATCCTAAGACTAGTGGAGGACAACAAGAGGAGAAACTCAAGTCGGACGGAGAAGGGAATGAGCAGAGTCTAAGATAATATTCGAACTGAGGAAGTACAAAGATTCTACAGGGTTTATATACTACTGAGGACTTAACGGAGAGTCAGTCTGCACAGTCCAAAGCTATGCGAGGCTGTGGATGGAGCGTATAGAAAAGTCAAACACTAGTCTATCGGAAAATAGTAAATGAAGACGGAGATGAAGACATAGGAAAATAAAGGCGGAAATGAAACGAGGTACGGAAAATGAGTATAGTCTAACTGGAGAAGGAACGTACAAAGGGATAAGGCACAGAAGATAGATGCAGGTCAGATCCGGACGATAGATAGAAGTCGGCTGGATCCAGAAGTCTGGAAATGATGTGTGTGATTGGTCCGGGTCCGGAATGCGGGATATGACAGTATCCCCCCCTTAGGGCCGAGCCCACGAGGCTTCTGATCTGGAAGTCTAGACTGGACTTCTATGAATGCGGGATGATGGCCGGAGCTTGTAAAAATAGAACTGGACATATAGGTAGGCTGGGGCGCCCATGAGACGTCTAAAACTTTCCCCCTAACTCCAATTACTGTTTCAACATGTCTAACTCCACTTCCGGCAACTCAAAGTCCGCCCGGCAACTCCTACAAGAGAGGCAGGCCGAAATCGCATGACTCGAGGCGGACGCTCGGAGAGAGGTGGAGGAAGAGGAGTGCAAGCGCAAGGAGGCAGAAGAGGAGCGGAAACGGATGGAGGAACAGAAGCGGAAGGATATCGAGGAGACTCAGAAAAGGTTGGCTGAGCGCGAGCAGGAGCATTTGGCAAAGGCTAGGATGGGCAACGCGTCGGAGGTGAGTCGGATGAGGTTTTTTGTGTTTTTCTGGAGTTTAACAAAATGTTAGTCCTCTGGTCCGGCGGATCCGGAGGTCGCATGTGAGATGTGTGTCCTTAGGCGCAAGATGTGCACCTGGGCAGTAGCGTCTAAGATGCCTAGGGTGAGTTTTCTGTTTTGTCTGGATCCGGATGATTACTGATGATTCCGAAAGATCCGGACTTGCGACCAGTGCCGCACATCCAAGGAAAAGTGTGTCGGCGGAAATCCGCCTGTCAAGGCGCCAGCCGGCAAAGGCAAAGGCAAGAAACGCGCACATCCAGAGGGATCTCCGAGCCCCAAGGGCAAAGGCAAAAGGCGTCAGTGGAGTCCGGAGGACATCGACGATGACATGGAAATAGTGTCCAATCCCCGGATGGTCATTGGGGAAGATCAAGACTGGGTGGAGTACAATGACCAGGCCTGGGTCGTAGCCGCCAACAACATTGTGGCAGAACTGGCCCGGACCAATGGGCTGATGGAGAGAAGTGTTGCAGTGGCGGAAGGAAGTAGGGCTGCGATGGACCGGGTGAGTGAAAACATGCTCCGGTTCATGGAGGAGCAGAGGGTGTTCCAGGCTCTCTTCATGGAGAGTCTGAGGAACGGTTTCCGGATGCATGTGGAAGATGCTCCAGAGGAGGAAAATGGGGAGGAGGCGGAAAAGGAGGCCAGCGGATCCAGCGGAGACATGGAGATGGACTCTTAGGTCGTCGGATCCGAAGTCCGGATGTCGGACGCCTAAATAATGTACATATATGCATGTCTTTCCTTACTCATTGCTAGAAGTTGGTCCCAGCTTATCCGGATATGCTGAGTGGAAATCCGATAGAAGTTCCAGTGCATTTCCGAGTTCAGTTGTGAGTATCCAGGAAGTTTCTTCATCTGTTCCCTCGTATCCAGCCCAATGTACTAAGTATAGTAGTTGGCAGTGATGTCTCCGGTGGTCGATCTTGGAGTCCAGAATTTCGGAGATTTCGTATTCCAGTTCTCCATCAACTAATACTGGAGGCGGAGGAGGTTGGATGCGATTCGGAATGGTGTTAGGAGTTGCGGGTTCTAACTGAGAGACATGGAATACGGGGTGCACGGATCGCTGTAGGACTGGGAGTCCTTGTGGCCTCGTAGAGGTCTATTTTCCGATGCATGTGAATGCTAATCATTGCCCAAATCATTCCCTATCATATCCGACTCAATACGCACCAAACCCGAAAACATCGGACATCAGACATCGGGTTGAGGACATCGGGTTTCGCATCAGCCGATCGGATATCGCGCGCACTTGTCCTACCTATGTCCAGTCTCATTGCGCTAGCCCCACTAGGTGCGTAGTTACTTGTTTTCACATCGCTAACATTGTCGACCGCGTTATTACATGTATTCCCATAGTCCGCAGTACATCATGTCTTATTACATAGGACATCGGACCCGAAATATTGCGCTACTACTTTCGCCTATAGGGTTCCGTATTTCTATGTATCTACTTAAATATTGGACTCCCCATAGCATCATCATTATCCGAGTAGAGGAGAATCGTCTCCGACGCTTAGGGGTCAAACCCGATATTTCATAGTTCTTAGTTGACATTGCGAATATCATCGTTCATTCACTGTCCGTACCCTTCATCGTTATTATTGCGCACACCACTCACTTTTCCGATGCTCGCTATCACATCACTATTAGTTTCCGATACCCCGAACCCGAACCCGACAAACCTGAAACCCGAAAAACATCAGACCCGATGCTTTTGCATCAGACATTGTAATTATACCTTCGGACATTGTTTCCCGTGCTCGGATTATTGACCTCACATCACCCACTGACCCCCAAAACTATTCCCAGACCGCAGACCCCTGGGTCGAACGCACTTGTCCACAAGTATAGCAGATAGGCAGTGCAAGACCACAACATAAAGATATCAGTTTGGAGCCATCTTTGTATAGCCCCACTCTGTGTTGTATACCTACAGTGGGTGAGAATGGGAGGTGGGTGAGAAAAGGGCAGGCAAAGTACCGACAGACTTGAAGGGTTATGAGTGCATAGGACATGATGGCGAGTGAGAATGCGAAGGCGGGTGAGAGGAGCGGGTGTGGTCAGGACATAATCTAGATAGAAAGTGAGCAAAAAAACACAGTCAAAATGTGTAGATATGGTGGAAGGGGAAGTGGTGCTCCACTACTCAGCCTTGGGGCGGGGACGGGCCATACTGGGCTTCATAGGGAGGGGAATAAAGCAAAAAGAAGAGAAACATACCCGGATGGGTCTGCTCGACAACTGCCCTTAAGAACTTGAAATCCATTGAGATGAATAAGAGTTTGTGTGAAGGGGTTCATTGGAATTGACTGTAACATGGTTGTTATTACTCAAGTCTGAAAGCGAACCGTCTGACAATGTTGCAACTTTATTGTTATGTAAGCATCTGAATTTGAATTGCCTTGATTCTGAGTCAGATGCAGCAGCAGTTGATATTAGATCAAATACCATGTATTTAAACATTAAAATGTTTGATCAAGTGAGGATCGCTAATAGTAACTATCATCTACGTTTTACGGGAATGACCATGATGAGTGCCCTCAGCTATTGGCCTCTTCCCCCTGTTGGTTGTCTTTGCCTTCCCTCGACCCCTGCCTATATCTGAACCGACATCACAGGCTTCTAAGTCATCTACATTGCCAGCTACCACTTCGACATTAGTACGAGCAGCAGCTTGAGATACGGATCCTTGTTCTTCATGCTGGATGATGATTTGACCGTCAGGTGCTGCTGATGAGACCGCTGAGATTGCTGATGAGGCCGGTGGAGCCTCGTCTGCTTCGCTGTCTGACGACATGTTGAGTGCAAGCATCGCTCGATTGATTTCTTCTGAAAAGTCTTCACCACCGGCGAGATGAAAGGTAGACAATTTCGCAGCGCCAAAAATGTGGTTGTCGATACTGGTCATGATGTTCTTGATGTGTCTCGTGTCCCACTTCATAACGAGCAGCTTCTTGTATTGAAAGAACAGGTCTCTGTAGTTAATGGTTGACGATTTCCCCACTCCTGAACCTGGAAACTCCGTGTCGGGTGAGAGTAGAAAGATCGCCTGTGTTAAAGCAAATCAGTAGACTTTTGATGCAAATATAAATAACATACCATAACTGCCACCCAGGCGATAGATCCTGGCGTGACTTGTTGAAAGTTCCACTTCCGAGCATTAGTCTTCGATCCACCGCAAGGTTCTTGATGAAGCGAGGTGACGCCGTGTAGCGAGGCTCTCAGAATCTAGATAGACCATAATAAGTAGGGTACATGATAGAACTATGCGACCAAATGATAGCACACCTTAGCAAAAAGTATCCA